CAGCAATTGAATAGACCCACGGGAATAGAACCACCCTCCGATGCCATTGACCAGAGCCAAGAAGATATAAGATGCCGTCAGTCGAGACATGCTCGAAAAAACAGCATTGTAGAGTGAGACGCTGCATAGGGCCAATGCTCCAAATGCACCAATGACTAGCACTCGTTCTCTCTTCTCCCTTGGCCAGGTTATCAAATAGATGGCACAGATTACCCCGGCCAGAGTGATTCCCAGAATAATGGAAGTCCGTTTCCCACTTCCAGTATTCTCTAGGAGCAAGACCGATACGGACGTTCCCCATACGTGCAGGACAATTCCGATATGGTCCAGCAGGAAGAAGGAAGAAACCTGCTTCCCCGAGTCAAGCAAGTAATGACAACAAGCAGAAGTGCCAAAACAAAAGAGATTGGATAACAGAGAAACCAATGCCGTAGTAGCATTGCTTGTTGATGAAGAACACCAAATTATATGGAAAATAAAGCAAAGCAGAATTCCGCTGCCGCAGAAATGGATTTTTGGGTCGATAGAGCCATTAGTCTGAACGGGCTGATATTGTAGTGCGCGTCGGGGCTTTGAATCGCAACGGCTGGCTTCCATATCGATAACTTGAATTGTCATTGAGGATTTTGTAGCACTCCGGACAGGCAATGTTTTGAAATTGATGGGACAGGGTTTCTTGAAACAGGTCATAGAGCTTGTGCAAAGAAAAAGAAAGTCTTCCTTGGATGAAAGGCTTTATTACTTGATCATCCAAAAATATTGAGGTCCTCAACTTTGGCACTCGCTAAGAAAAGGAAAATTGTGTATCTAAAACCCGAGGCGAGCAGACACGAAAATGTGAACATATTTATGGTCGGCGCGGTGTGTTCAAATAACAGGTCCATAATACTTCATGAGACAGGAAACAAACATTATAAGGATGTGGTTAATAAAGGTGGCGTTAGCGGGCAATGACATTGATTTTGATGGTGCGTTGATGGTGAAGGGGAGTTTTCAACGCCTCGCGGGCGAAGGGCAAAGGTTTCCTCGCCATCTTACTCATACGATAGATGTATCAATGTACGTTATCCATAGCCCGTGAGCTATTTCTGTTTCTTAACCTGGTAACTTGGTGGAATTGGCATACAGTCTCCGATTCGATAGAACTAGTCAGATTAATGAGAAATATTTTTGAGATTGGCAGATGTATCACTAGGAATCCTGGGAACACCGTTTCTTTCCTACTGGATATCTGAGTAGTGATTTGAGGCTTGTGCAAACTGAAACCAGACATCATGCTAATTCATAGACCTGAACACTTGGCAATGGGTCTCTCACCAACGTGTTGACCAATATCAGAATTACCAAATGTAGATAGTGGACACTTGGTATTGGGCGGGAGCGGGAGGCCCACGATTTTGCGCGCCATGACATCAGGGAATGAGGCTGCGGCGTGGCTGCTGTTGTAATGTCTAGCTAAAGAGGGATCCTTGGCAAGAATTGTATGTCATTCAACGAGGTGTTTTCATTCTCAACTCTCTAAAGATGTACATGTACAGCTATTAGTAGTAGTAGAAATACACTAAGCGAGAGTGCGATGGATCTATAATAGTTCCATGGTACAGAGTATCCAACGAGCCCTACCTGGACATCGCGCATGAATTCGGATATGTTGAGGCCTCAGGCTTGCTGAGCCGATATCTCAACAGAGTCACCCCAATGGCTGACTGTATAGGATGCTGTAGCGAGGGCTTGTTTGCAGACGAGGTCAAAATATGGGTGGGCTTCTAAAAGAGAAATTCAATGAACATGACAGATACTACAATGTATCGACACGAATGCTCCTAGCTACCCTTTGATCGGTCAACCAAGGAGGCATAACGCTGCGCAAAACGCGTTTGTGCAATAGGTAGTTCAATTTTCAAGTCCTTTTTCAAAAAGAAGCAGGTCGTAATCTACCCTGTGAGAATCTCACTATGGTACTATAGTCAAAAGTTCATAATGACACGTCGGCGCTTCGGTGATAGGTGGATCGGGAGAGAGGGGAGAGTCCTGAATTTGCCGCAGATGAGCAACGAACAAGTGAAACTCATCAAAGTCCTTCAAGCCTGAACTGCCATTTGCATCTGACCCAAGTTCTTCGAGCACTCGTTCCGACAGATGCTTCCGGCAGTCGTGCGCTGCACCTAAGTCATCCAGGACCCAACGGAGCAGCTCGAGAGCGAAGATATCCACAGGCTGGTTCTCTCTTTGATATGTATCCCGGTACTTCTTTTCTGGGCCTTTGAAAGGAATTTGTTCCACCAGAAAGACGCGGAATGCAAACCAGTTGATCTTTTTTAGGCGGGCAGCATGCAAATCCTATCTTTCGCGCAATAAACGCGAGAGATGCTTCCTGCCGACATCAATGATGAGTGCTTCTTCGTATAGTCTTCCGCATTGCTCAAAATACCTTTGTAACCGAGATACGAATTGTTGATATTCCGACCAGTTGCTTACGAAGTAAACCAGCACCTCTTGACTATCAATCACCCTTTGAAACGATTATTTTCTTGCGTGATGAGATCACTCCCGCTCGGGCCGGCAGTGCGTTTTTAATCCCTTGCGAATATGAAACCGACGTATTATAGTCCGGAGGTAGCGTATAAGACTTTTCCACCTGAAATTTAATCTCGGGTAACGCCCCTTTCAGCACAAATTCCCCGAAATCTCGACTGGTGTATGAGTGATAGGCTCCCATTGAATCAGCCATAAGGCAAAACGGGTCACAGGTTTGGGCTGTTTTCTGGCAAGCACCTTGGATACATTCAATGATTTGTTCATTTATTGCGTTTCGTCGTGGAAATCTTTGAACCAAAAGGGTAAAAAACGACATCCACGTGATACTCTCAAGGTGGTTGGTCTGACCTGACGACTCACCTTTTAGCTCGGACGAGATGTATCTTCTCCCCAACTCTACTTTGCGAGCCTCGGTAAAATAGTCACGGTGCTGAGCAAAGTGGTCTTCTAATGTGTTGATATAACGGACGTACTCAGTTCATCCCTGTCCCCGATAGATGTCAACTTGAAGATGCACCGAGTTTGGCGGAGTGGTCGGGGTTTGATGGCCAGGTGTAGGTTGAATTTCCACCCGTAGCAAAGCGGGCTGAAGGACGGCCTGATGTTGTGAAGGACTTGTGTTCTCAGTTCTCTCATTTCCGAGAGAGGTTTCGGAGAAAAATTCCCTGATTCCCATCTCGTGCCCCTCGTTCCCGAGTCACAATGTATGGGGAGAGGATCTAGAGAGGCTAAGCCTAGCGACGGCTTTGTCAGTTCGTTTTCTCTTACCTGGTAGCTCTTCCAGGATATGGCATGTTCATTCGCGTCGGTTCAGAGATATGGGGTGTAGGCTCTATTGCCGGGCTGTAAGGCCGTTGGACCGCTGGAGGATCAATCTTTGATCGTATCCACTTAGAAGTTACCGGCGTAGGCCGCTAGTAGATATTATGTAGTTTCCAAACGGGTCGCTATCGGTTGGTGTCGTTTTCACTTCGCTTGAAATCCCATAGTTTTGTATCAAGTCATCCAAAGAAACAGAGAAGGCAGACGACTCCGAAATATCCAGCGAATCAAGAGCAGTTGACGGCTGGGGACTGGTCGAACCAGAGGCATCGGTGACCACACTATTTTGAGCATTATGGAGGCGTGACTGCTCTTCTTGTAGCTTAATTTCCTTCTCGGCTAACTGTGCCTCAAGCTCTGCGAGATGTCTGCGGTGTTGTGATATGAGACTGGTGCAGATCAGGAACCAAGCCGCACCGTCGGAATTAGCTCCGAAGTGTCTATACAGACGACCAAGTTGGCTAATTGTTGTATATATAGGCTCATGTATCCCCCTGAAATAACAAGTCAATTCATACCTCCGAACAACAACAGGCGGGCGCGTGCCGTTTCTAGTTTTTGGCGAACCTCGAGAATCTTTTGTTCAAGACGAGGATCTTTACTGTCGGGGTCGTTCATCTTGTAGGCTTTGGGGGAAGTTCCCGGCGTGATAAACACCATCAAGGGTGCCAGCGACCATGCATCACGGTTGTGAAGGGTTCTGTTAAAACCCCCAAAACCTTTTGTCGAACTGAGGGGTGGTATTTTACCACTAAGGATAGAGTTATTCATCAAGTACCCATTCTCTCTTTGTCTCTGTATGGTAAACGGGGTACGTTCGGCATACCAGCGTCGTAATACGCTAGGAACGACTCCTGAGATCTGATAATGCTTCAACAGAAAAGACCCAGATAGAACAACATCAATGCATCTCAATGGGACACCTCAATACTAGCACATACCAGTGTCTGTCAATCTGACACCTTTTTCCAAAGGGAAAAGAAGGAAAGAGTACCTGTACGGCTTAGTCTCTACCTGAGATCGGTTAGCCGAGAGGTGTCACTCAATGCCAAGCCCTCTCCGAAACCACTCAAATCGTCCTCGCCCAAGAGGCTTGGTGAACCCATCTGCAATTTTGTCTGTAGTTGGAATGTGGTGTTTAGTGGTGTAGTGATATATCACGATGGCCCTCTATGTGCCAATCCGATTCCACGCCGTGAGGCTTCATCTATGATTCTCGCCTCTAGATACTGGAAGTGGCCTTTTACAAGCACGCGTTCAACTCGTTCCCGCACTGTAAATTTAAAGAGCGTCTCAAGCGCTGAAACATCCTCCGAGGTTGAACTACTCGTGTGAAAGGTATTCGCTCTGACGTGTCTACATTCACCCCAGATATAATCAATTACGTACTCTGTAGCTAAATCTTCGCATGTCGAGTTCAAAAATATAATGTAGTAGCTGACCGACTTTGACGAATGGCGAGCCCGACGCGTGTTTCTCAACTCGCTGTTAATTTTCCAGAAGTTTCATGTTAAAATCCATATGCGGACTTTATAATCTTGAATCACGCCAGTATAAAAGCTACCAACTTTTCCAAATTTACCACGGCGGAGTTAAACCGAGGCAGGGAATCATGATATATTACCAATATCCGCATATAACTAATCAAGGTGCACGGTGTTGAACAGTCTATGTCCAGTGTCGGTGTTCCCTCTGCCAATGAATTGATTTTCCGACAGGCGAAGAGCAACAAAGGATAAACGCCGGATCCGCGAGAGCTCTTGCGCAATTCTGCTGGTGGAAACCGATTTAGCCTGGATGACACCAGCGACCACAATAATGCGAATAGAAGCATGAAGGTGTCGAATGTGTCGCACAAAATCCAAAATTGACTGGCCGGTGTTGATCACCGAATCAACAAGAAATATTGTCACGCGACCTTGAAGATGCTCATGCTGAATGTCGCTTGGGTTTTTTGCATGAAGAAACATGGCAAGTGGCAAAGCCCTGTTGACGCCCAAAGCCATTGGTTCACCACCTCGCATCAAAGGCACAATCAAGGTCTCTTTCTCATGAAGAATTCGATAACCATCTGTTTGGTGACCTTGAACATGTGGAACATGATACGTCTCAACGCCAAGAATTTGCGTACAGAATTCGGTGGCAAGATACCATCCAATTTGAGAATGTACATCTCGCAATGCTGGTCCAAAAACTGCTGCATCACGCGTTGGTGTCATGAGCAATTTGGCCGCAAAACGATCAGTAGCATGAAGAAGATGAAGGCTTTGGCGCCGGACAAATACCGACTCAACAAAGAATTGATCCGTCAGTTGTACTAAAGGCAGTCGGGACGCATCAAGACGAGCTGTTGCAGTTGACGGAAGCACAGCTTGGCGCGGCCAAAATCCGGCCTTTCCGATAGACTTTGTCAGAGCCTCGTCCATGCTAGCACTTCTCAAAGTTTTGTCGCCTGTCACAACGATTGCCTGGTGGGCCGCTTGGAGCATTTCCACGTCCAGTGGACTGTCGCCAAGGGCCCAAACGTAAGTGTCGTGCACTTCACACAAACGCGTCACGAGTGCCGCTTTCAGTGCGGGTGTCATGACAAGAGCGTCGGACAAGCGCCCCCCGCCTATCACTGTGACTGTTTTCGCCAGACCCTCTCTCTTCAGAACCTTCTCCCAGACTCTGCGAAGCCCACAAGTCAACACCAGCGCGCGAACATGGGTCTGACCTGATACCAAATGCAGAAGGTCTAAGATTTCAGGATGAATATTGATCATCAAGGCCACTTTCTCGCAGAAATCATCATATTCTTTATTGTCGCCAATGAATTCTTCGCAGAGTAAGGCCGCTTGGCGGAAGGCAGTATATGAGTATTGCAAAGGGCTGCTAAACAAAGCTTTCAAGGGGAATCTCTCGTCCGCCTTCGCCGAAGACGTAGAAGCCAGCTCCCAGAACAATTCACCGCTGTCCTGTGGTGCTAGTGTCTTGTCGGCGTCAAAGACTAGTACAGTCTCCGGCCGTTCGGACCCGGTGGTTATGAAGTCGTCCATGCGTTGCTGGGCCAGTGTTGTATTCAAGTCGTCTGTATGGCTCCTGAGATCCTGAATAAGAGGAACAAGTCTTCCCATAGATACCTGGCGTTGAGTAATGGTCGTGAAAAGGATGTCGTGGGACCTGCAAAGTTGGCGCAATTGTTTTTTCTCCTCATGCTGCCATTGGATCAAATGAGCAATTGACACCGACGGACGACTTCGTTTCTGATCACTCGACCGATACTTCGCGATGTCCCTAGCCGGCACATCCAGATACAAAATGTGAGTGTAAGTGTCTAAATCAGCTGGTGTGCATACCAATTGGCCGGCACCTTCTCCTTCGGCCCAAAACACGGCATGGCCAGTGACTAGGGCGCTTCTCCCACTGTGGAAACTCTCTCGCTTGATCCTTTCAATCGCACGATCACGAGCCCTTTCTTTGTCATCTTCGTTCAAGTTCTGAAATGCTTCGAGACCCCCAGGCGTGTCGGCTGCAATGACCTGGCTGCCATCATAGAAGGCAAAGTCGGCATGACTCAGGCCACATTTGAGAACATTCAGCAAGAACGATTTTCCAGATCCAGGGAGGCCATAGAGGCCGATGATGACTGGTTTTGAACAGTTGGCTGACGCCCGGTCGGTGGACGTGAGATTGTGGCGGTCAGTGCCATTAAGACCTGATATAGTGGGAGAATGCATAATTGAAGCTTTGGTAGAACAGAAGTTGATATCAAGCAAAGTAATTGTGAAGTTGGTTCTCGATGGAGAAAGACGAATACGCCCTGTACTAGCAAGGTTTATATCATGACCTTCTATAGAAAGTAGCGGTCTAAAAGCACATGTGAGCCGGTAGGTAGAATAGATGCCGAAAAAAGGAGGAAACATCGGAATCAGAAAGGGTGAGCGAATTGGCGATCACAAAGCGCCACGCATCACCAGCAGGCCATGCAAGACCATTACTACGTCGCGCAACGGATATTCCGAATCCCCGAGCTGCAACGCAGTGATCAAGGCAGAAGGGGCCAGACACGTCGGAGGCCACGGCTGACTCGCTGAAATGTTTCGAGATGTATTCGATGGCGACAGGCCACAGAAGCAACCTTTTCATCCTTGCTAGGGTTCACCACTTCATGTATCGAGTTCCAACGTTTTTCCTTACATATGAGAGCAGCTATTTTGAAAAAGAGCCAGCGCGAGGTGAACTTCGCCAACATGTAAACACAAATTGGGGCCATTTGGTACCCAGAGAAAGGAATCCGGCGAGATGTAAATCCGTCATATTGAGCCCGTGTAATTGAAAAGATGACGTCGGAAGCTTCACTCAATCTAGAGAAACGTGTTTTTGCAAGTCGGAGCTCCTGGAGCTCCTCACGAAGTCTGTCTCGATGCCAGGACGCTTGTGGCTGCCGAGGAAGATTCAAGCTCTTGAGCCACAGCCGTAGTGTTGCTTGCCCCAATCGTAGTGTCACTTGCGCCACTGAATGCATGTTCGGGTTAAACAGTAAGGGATTGTGGTCATCCAATCATCAGGCTGTCAACGAGGAAGGTTCGTCAACAGTCAGAAAGGGGCCACTAAGATCCAAGTCGTCATCGGGGACGGAACATCTCAGTTTCCGGTTCTTGTTGCTGCGGCAAGCGCGCGCCAAGCCGTCTACTAAGCGTTGTTCGATGGTGACCCCAGATCCGGAAATTACGACTCTCCACCCTTCATTGCTTACTGCATGCGTTCCGCATTGTGGGCGTTCCGCATTTCGAGCTTCCCGCGTCATAGGCCTCCCGCATCGGATGCCTCCTGCGTAGCGGCCTCCTGCATGGTGGCCTCCTGCATGGCGACATCGTGTAGTTTGACCTATTGAGTATATAGCTGACAGCCAATCATTGACTTGGAATTATCTGTTGGGTCAAAAGCTGGAATGTCCGACTTAAAATATATGAAGTCCTCCGTTGGCCCTTGCCTATGTTCTCGCTCGTCAATCCTTTTGACTAGGGCTCCGAAAGGAATAAAGGAATGCGAATATACGACATATTCATATTCGCACTCCGCGAATATGAATATATGAATTTTTTATTCGCGCGAATAAACGCATTATTCATATTCGCATTCATATTATTCATATTGTACAATTTCTCCGCATTAATAATATGTCCGGTACAGCGGTTATCGTATTACCGAAATGCGCTTAGTGGTCGATTTTGTCGGATTGACAGATACTGGTATGTGCTAGTATTAAGGTGTCCCATTGAGATGCATTGATGTTGTTCTATCTGGATCTTGCTGTTGAAGCGTTAACAGATCTCAGGAGTCGTTCCTAGCGTGTTACGACGCTGGTATGCCGAGCGTACCCCGTTTACCATACAGAGACAGAGACAGAATGGGTACTTGATGAATATCCCTGTTCTTAGTGGTAAAATACCACCCCTCAGTTCGACACACCCCCTCAGCGAGTGCCCTTTCTGCTCTTGCAGATGTGTGCGTTAGACCTCGCCCACCACCAGATGTTGCCGTATATCTTCCATACCCATCGATTGCATGAATTCGAGATGCTTTTGGCGGGGTAGTAGCTTTGTGAGACCATCAGCTACCATATCGGCGGTTTTCACCCAGTGTACGGTGATGCGCTTGCTCTGAACCTCCTGCCCAAGGCAATGCTGGTGTATGTCAACATGACGGAGCTTCGTGCGCAGTTGAGGTGTTTCTTTTTCGAGGATCCCGATAGTCTGCTGATTGTCGCATTTGATGTTTAGCTCATGCTCAGGATCGAAGCGTATTGCTTTGAATAGCCGTTTCCACATGGCCACGGTCCTGGCAGCTTCTGAAACCGCAAGGAGCTCAGCTTCGGTTGTACTGGTAGTCACCGTACGCTGCTTGCTAGCTTTCCAATCGACAGGTCCTCCAAACATCATACATGTGTATCCTTCAGAGCTTTTTCGATCGGGATTATCAGCGAATGAGGCGTCACTAAAGAACTGAACGGCCTCCGGTATCTGACAATTTTTCTGTGATCGATCACGCGCTCTGTACGCGATCGCCGATGTCCGAGTGCTGTCAAGGTACGAGATGACTCTATTGATTGCATCAAGGTGCTGAGGACCGGGATTTGTGAGGAATTGAGCCAGTGTAGCCGTCGCTTTCGCTGAGTCCGGTCTAGTGATCGTCGTTGCATATTGAGCTGAGCCAACCTTCTCCTGGTACTCGTGAATCTGTTGAGGCGTCGCCTGGCCGTCAAATGGCTTGAGTGGGGTACTAGGGAGTGGTGTATCATATCTGCGAGATCCAGTAAGATGGTAACGGTGAGCCATCGAGGATATATATGAATCCTGACAGAGCCATAGGGCCATCTGTTGTCTGTCACGGATAATGCGTATCCCGAGGAACCACTGCGCCTCTCCCATATCTCGAAGCTCCCAGTGTCTGTTGAGCTCTTCTCTCAGATGTTTGGCTGCTGCATGCTTTGAAGAATGATTTACAATGATGATATCGTCAACATAGAAGAACACCATGATGCCGTCCGCTGCGAAGAGGCAAATATCTTCCTGCACTACCTGCAAGCCTAGAGATGTGAAGATCTTAGACGCTTCTCGTTGCCATAGGCGTGGAGATTTTCGTAGGCCGTATAGAGCTCTAAGAAGCTTCCAGCACTTGGCCTTACCATCTTTCTCAAACCCTGGTGGTAATGAGACGTATACAACCTCATCTAGTAGGCTATTGAGGAATGCGTTGACAGCATCATATTGATATGTGTCCAGATCGAATGCAGCAACTAGGGCGAATACAGCACGCGCGGTTCGCGCTGCGAGAGTCGCTGAGTACTTTTCTTCTGCCGTCATCCGCTGGAGATCTCCTCGCACGCATAGTCTCGCTTTCAGCTTGCTCAGGAACCCATTGCTATCAAACTTGTAGGTGAAGACCCATTTGAGAGGTAGGATCTGAATACTGCGGTCCGTTGGACGCTGTACTACCTCGAAGGTGTTTTTACGAGTGAGTGTGTCAATTTCAAGGCCTGCAGCAGCAAGAAATCCCTTGTGATATTGATGATTGATCATTTCCTTCCAGTTCTGAGGCTCTGAAGGCAGATCATCGCGGTGCACGAGGTTATGAAGGTGAGGAGCGTTTAGTCCTGTTGCGAACGCTGCTAACACACCTTCATGATAGTCCTCTGGCTCTTCTAGCGCGGCGGTAAATGCCTGGTCCACTGGTTTCCTCTTCCGTGCTCCAGAGACGATGTTTTGGTCCGATACATCTCCCACAATATCTCTTGGTGCTCTTGGACGTGCTGTCGCATGTTGTGCGGGCCCTCGATCCCCGGGAAATGCTCCTTGAGATGGTTGCTGCGCCTGAGGCGCCGGCAGAAGCTGTGGCTCTGCCGAGGGTGTTAGAGACGGCGTGACCGTCTGCTGAGGTTGGCCTGGTGATTTCGGTGGTTCAAAGGCATTTTCTTGGCGTTGAACGTCCGGTATAGCTTCTGGTGACTGCTGAGTGCTTTCACTAGCTGGCTCGTTTGTTTCTGGCTGGCTGACACGCTGTGTGAGCTGCTCGATGTCCTCATGCTCATCTTCACCGATTTCCCATGGCATAGCTTCGATTACGTCGCTAATGGGTGGCTTTACTAGTTCTTTGGGGTCATATCGTAGATTCTCGTCGAATACTACGTCCCTGACTTCTCGCACGGCTCCTCTGTGCGGAAACCACACTCGCCAGATGTTCGAGGCTGTGTAGCCTACTAGATATCCGATATCCGCGCGCGGCTCCATCTTGTGGCTCTTTGGAATATCTTGGCGGCGCACGTAAGCGCGGCATCCGTATAACCGCAGATTTGAGAGGTTGATGCGTTGTTTTGGCTGCATGTGATCGATTCCTGTTGCCTCAGCGTACGGAATAATCCACTGACCGTTTGGAAGCTTAGTGGGCGATCTGTTGATGATGTATACAGCTGCTTTAACAGCTTCTGGCCAGAGAGCCTTCGGCAAGCCTGCTTCCAACAGTAAGGCTCGTGCCCTCGCAATTATCACCCCCCCAGATCGTTCACCGAAGCTGTTCATCTCTGGTGTGCCCACCACACTGTGTTCCACGATGAAGCCACATTCACGGAGGAAGTCTTCTACCGTGCGGCCGGCAGCGCGCTCGTTGTCATAGCGGAAGGCTCGAATTGGCAACTTCAATTGTGTTATTGCAAACGCGACAAAATTCTTGACTGCATCCTGACAACCACTCTTCTTCTGGTGTGTTGAGGCGGCATGTAGGCGTATCCCTTCGAGGTAGAAGTGTGTCATCCACTTATCATCGTTGTATGCTGTCTCTATCTGCACAAGGTCAAAGTGAATTCGACCATATCTGCCGTACTTGGTTCCATGAGCTCTTCTCGAGATTTGGCGCTTTGCGCTAGTCATTTGACAGACTTCACATCTCTCAGGATTGCCGGCAGCATCATCGACATGCTGACCAATGATCTTGATTCCATCAACGAGTTCTGCAAGTTTCTCGATACGCTGATCATACATATGACCTAGGCGTTGATGCCAACGCTCGGCGGTGGCTGAGGATATTAATGGTTTTTCTGAATGCTTGATTGTAGCGAATCCAGCCGGAATTGGCCGGTATTCGAGTACGTATAGCCCACATTTCTCCTCTAGCTTTGCAATAGGCTGACCGCGGCGAACGAGTGCCAGTAACTCGATATTCATGATGAATCCCTTGCTCTTCAGTCTCGACGCCGAAAGTAGGTTCGTGTGGAATCCTGGCGAATACCGTACGTCCGAGACCTCTCCGATAGAGATCTTTCCGGTCTTGGGGTCTGTGAGGTTCAGTCTGACCGTTCCAAAGCCCTGGATTCTTGTAGAAGCGTCTCCGGTGATGACAGTGTAGTCAGCAGGAGTGAATGAGATGAATCTGTCACGATCGTTGCTGATGTGAGTATTCGCGCCAGTATCGACGATCCAGCTATCCTTTAGCGGAAACTCATCACCCTCTTGTGCCGCTTGTACCGCAAGATTATGCGAAAACATAGAGATAATCTGTTCGGACGACTGCTGATCTTCTGAGGCTGCAAACTGAGCTGATTCGACCTTGGTAAGCTTTGCGATGGCTTCCTGGTCCTGGGGGCTCATCCTCTTGATGAATTCAGGGATCTTCTTCTCTACAGCTTCGTTCGGGTTCCAGCCTTCTGGCCTCTGCGATTTGTTGAGATAATAGCACTGCTGATACGTATGGGCACCATTACCACACGGGCACCGTGTACGGTACGTTTTCTCCGCTGGCTTTGACTTATTTTGACCAGGTTTAGCCTCATGCTGACCATCTAGCGTGGCAAGTGCAACCTTCGACGATCCCTTCTTCGCTGACTGTCCAAGAGCCTTACGGCGTGTTCGGTATGCGGAGATAACGTCGTGGAAGGATATATCGTGTATGAGGATTTTCTCCTGCCACGTGGTACAGAATACGTCATCTATAGGCTGAATAGCGCGCAGGAAGTCTCGAATAGCGTATTTGACACTGTATACCACATCAGGCACATCTGCACACTTTGCTTCCTCATATAGACTCGTCCACTGAGTGAGCCAGTGATCTGTATTGACGTTATTCGTTGGTTGTTTGATCATGGCCCTCCACGCAGCTCGAAGCTCTTCGGTCCGGGTCTCTGGCTTTGGCTTGAATTCACGAGCTAGCCTGACAAGCTTCTGATACGGCGAAACCTCATCGACTGTGAGATAGTGATACTCGGTTGCGAGAGAACGTGTGATTAGGCTGTTCATGCGTGCCATCACCTTCAGCAGGCGCACCCGTTGAGCCTCACGCCTATCATAGGCTTGAATGCGTCGAGTCCACTGGGTAAATTCCTTCTCTGTGAGTTCAAACTCATCCTCCACATCTTCGCGAATACTGCTAGGTTGAGGCTCTCGGGCGGCCTCGGGAACCTGTCGTACGCTCTCTTCTGCAAGATCTGGATTCAGATAGTCCCACACATCTTCAGAGATAGCTGCTGAGCGTATGTGGCCGATCCAGACTCTCCATTGACTTTCCGACCGTAGTCGCTGGTCCTGAGGCACTGCCCTCAGTTCTTCTGAGTAGAGGCCTTCTGACATTCTTATACTGCTTTCCCTTATTGTACTCTATTGTCCTGTTCGCAATCGGTCGTTGGCAACGCTCGCATGTGCCGTTCAGGGGTAACCGGGCGATTCAGAGGTATCCGAGCTATTCAGGGGTATCCGGCACTGCGGAATATTATACACGTCGCTAAGATACAGAGCAGAGAGGTCTGATATATCTTAATGGATATTGCAACGGGCAACCGGGCTCATAACTGTCGGATTGACAGATACTGGTATGTGCTAGTATTGAGGTGTCCCATTGAGATGCATTGATGTTGTTCTATCTGGATCTTGCTGTTGAAGCGTTAACAGATCTCAGGAGTCGTTCCTAGCGTGTTACGACGCTGGTATGCCGAGCGTACCCCGTTTACCATACAGAGACAGAGACAGAATGGGTACTTGATGAATATCCCTGTTCTTAGTGGTAAAATACCACCCCTCAGTTCGACATAGAACTCTGTACCGAAACACGCTATACCTATTACGGTTAATCTACCCTGATAATCTTTCTTGGCAGTATTCCCGTAAAGCTTTTTGCAATATTTCTGCAGCTTATTGGCTTGAAAAGAAAGGGGAGTGATTGGTAACAACATTTGGTAAGTTATGTCGTGGGATTTCGAGGCCCATACATAGAAAAGCCTTTGTTGGAAAGTCGGAAATTCTAGAAGCACTTATGGTTTGCAATCAACCCTCGCCGCCCGTACTCAAATGTCAGCTGTGGGATACCGGTGGGATGCCGGTGGGATGCCGGTGGGATGCCGATGGAAGTGGAACAACAACAATTCAGAAGCCAGTGGGGTATCCTTATAGGGTGGGGGCCGAGTAGACTTTATTCATCCTTTAGTAGAAGACCCGTAGTTGCGACGGTGCTATTGTAATCCATGATTAATTCACTCAAATTCTTGTTAACACAAGCGTCGCTACATTTACTATATCCGGCACCTCCCAACAGATCAAAACATATATAGGCTGGTTACTCTCCTCTTTGTAAAATTCGTGAAGAGATTCTCAATTTCTCGAAATCTTCAATTGGAATCAAAATCAAAAAACCCAACCATGTCTCAAATCAAAACTGTTCGCATTGTACAGGCCGGCGACAAATTTACCGCCGAACCTCGTGTCGAATCTCTGCCGACTCCTGGTCCCCGTGATGTCCTGATTAAGGTCTACGCTGCTTCGCTGAACTACCGCGATACGGCCCTTTTGAGGGGTGAATATCGTGCACCGACTAAGGAAAACGGTATTCCTCTATCTGATGGTGCCGGAGAAGTTATTGCAGTCGGAAAAGATGTCGCACGGATCAGAAAGGGCGACCGTGTGGCGGTCAGTTGCGCTGCAAACTGGATTGGCGGCCCATATACCCCGGAATATCGTTCAAGCAGCGTCGGTTTCACTGTGGACGGGCTATTGGCTGAATGCGTGATTTTCAACGAAGACGCACTCGCCTGCATCCCTGATTATATGTCCTACGTCGAGGCTGCCTCTCTTCCTTGCGCGGCTGTTACGGCCTGGACAGCTCTTAACAAAGTTGAGCCCCTCCAGCCAGGCCAGACCGTGATGATCCAAGGAACTGGTGGCGTTTCACTCTTTGCGTTGCAATTTGCGAAGATTTTCGGCGCTCGTGTCCTAGCGATCACATCCTCAGATGGAAAGGCCGCTAAGCTCAAGGAGCTTGGAGCTGATGCTGTTGTGAATCATAGCACCGCCCCTGACTGGGATCAGGAGATCCTTGCTCTGACCGATGGAAAGGGTGTTGACAAGGTGCTCGATATTGCCGGAGAGAAGACCATCGTGAAGTCCGCAGCATCGACCAGGATCACTGGCACCGTCGTCCTGATTGGATTCGCAAGCGGTTTCGGTGGCGGCCTTCCGCCAATCGACATCCTCGTTCGTTCGCTCACAGTAACTGGATCTACTGTTGGTTCTCGGATCGAATTCGAAGCCATGCTTCAGGCCATGGAGCGGCACCAAGTCAAACCCATTATCGACCAGGTTTTTCCTTTCGCAGAATTCCACAAGGCGTATGAAAGACTCGAGAGTGGACAACAAGTCGGCAAAGTCGTTATTGAAATCGCCAAATAAGCGACTCATGAGGGTATGAGATAGGTTGTTGAAAATGGTCGCTACACACTTGCTTCCGAGGCATGAATAGCAATGATTTTGCTACCAACTTCGGCGTGAAGGACTTCTACTGACGGAAGCCCTAAAACCGTGAAATAGAAAGATTAGATAAACTAGAGACTCCCACAAAACAAGTATCTTGAGCAGCGCCACCTTTTGAAGAGCGCTAACTTGTACCCAAGAAAGATGCTTAAGAAAATAGAGTAAGACATTGCTGTGTATCATCAAATCGTTTAGTCAAATTGCGCTAGGTATGGCGGCATTTTGAACTCAAAGCAGATCGCATCCGATCCCTTCAAGTCCCCTCCTGCCGCCATTAGGGATGAACCTCATTTTCATCTTCGATTTGCCGAGCTGCTTCAACCCCGCATTAGGCGCGCACTGCGCGCCGGGTTCGAGGAGCTCGCACCCCAGCTTCAGCAACTAAGCCTTGTGCCGATCACTTTTGACGGTGGAGGATCGGCAGCGTACGTCGACCATTTTCGACCAGACACTGCCTTCGTCACTCTCGGGGCCACCTACGCCGTCAGCACGAACCGGGCCCCAGGGGATATGAAGGTCTCGTGGAAATGGCGTTCTGACTACCGCCATTCGCAAAACCTCTTCTTTCAAGAACAATACAAGCAGGTTCTTTCACAGGTGAATTCTATATAGGCCAACACAAAGCGCGCCATGGCTTTGTGCTTACCAACACTGAGCTGATTGGAGTCAAACGTCTCGATACAAACGGCAGTCTAGCCGTCTCTTTGTCAATCCCCTGGACAGCTGGAGGCCATGGTCAGCTCACTTTGCTAATGAGCATATGGTATCTAGGGATGCTTGCAGCCGAAGAAACCAACTGGACTCTATAATCAAGCTACCTGTTTCTCAATTTTTAGGCCAGGATCAATACCAATCTGAAGGTTTCATCTATTCTGGTTCAGTTTCTGCCTTTGGTCTGCATTCACAGAATAACAGCTGTATAGATAAATAAAGTAGTGGAGAATTCTTGCATTATTCAAAGTCTAAACTCCCAAGTTGCAATTATTATATGGTAAACAGTCAACGTTATTTTATTGTGAGCCAAGCGGCCGAAATCATAGCCCAATTTGTGCGTTCAATTTGGGCGCCGAGAGACTCCAGGACAGCAGAGGAAAATCCGATTTTGATTGTTACTGTGAGACGTTCTTTATCTTCCACTTATGACGCATATCGAACACTACATACCTGGTGTTTAAGCCCCGATATTTTCGATTTTCAAGCCTACATGACGAAAATGACCTCGGGCACTTTCTTCTTTTGCGCCAACCACATTGATGCACCATTCCAAGAAAACATCAAATCCTTGACTAGGGTCCCTTTCATAGTAATTCCAATTACGCCTGATGAAACTTTTAAGCTTAGCAAAGAACTCTTTAATCGGATTCAGGTCCGGCGAATAAGGCGGCAGGTAAACCAATTTCACCCCGGCCTCCTCACATATCTATAGAAGCCGCTCTAAGTGGTGGAAGGATGCATTATCTATCACGAGGACGGATTTTGGCTCTGGCCACCTTCCGCAATGCTGTAGAAGCTAGGATATAAAGCCCTCGAATATAGTAGCATCTGTAGAGCCGCGGAATACACGCGAGAGGAGGATTCCATCTTAAGTATACGTAGGTAGTATTTGATATCGCTGGTCGCGGTGGAACTGTGTTACTTGTAGAGGAGCTTTGCTAAGAGGTGCCTAACCGGTGCGCCTGAATCCGACCCGTTTATCATATCCAGATTCATCAATATATATCAGGTGATACGACTGAAACTCTAATAAATTGTGTAGGTAGTAGTCTCTTAAGTCCGCGTTCTGCTCTTTAGCGCGCTGGCGCGCTGCCTTTTTCGACAAACCTGTTGCTATAAGGGCTCTTTTAATGCTGGAGGTTGTAATCATGGTTTGAAACTCATCCTATAGGAAGACCGCTATCTCATCGGGGTAGAGACCAGGCTTCTCAGAAAGGTGGTCACAAAGAGCATTTATCATCAGCGGTGTAACGGTTCGTTTTCGGCCGATTCGGGTTTGAGGGGCATGGATGGCTCCAAATTGGCGTAGGTTTCTGCAAATATTAATGATCGTAAGCTTGGTACATTCAGCTTCTTCGGCCATCTGAGACGTGATGAAGGACTGGCTTTCTATCATATCACGGATCAGATGGAGCTTCGAAGTAGGGAGTCTAGGAGCCATGTCGTTTTGCCTGATATTGAACACTGAAATGTCGCAGAAAACCGGATGATGACCGGGGGGTGGAATCTGCCTTGTGCATGGATTGAGGGAGGGGCATACCAGGTAGCAAGCGTATAGCACTTTCCTGTAAAATACATATGGTCATGTCTTAATGCTGTATTGTAAGATACCCCTATCAGTCTAGAAAGCGGTCTGAAAGGCGGCGTCTTCGCTTCCTATCCAATCAGAACTTACGACCCTCGGATTTATTTTCCGGGAATCAAGTCACAAGAGTGCAGAGGTATAGCTGATTTCGAATACTACTGTACCTCGATGACTGTATAGGCGGGCGAATCCACGATCGACTGTATTCATAGGAGCTGTACAGTATATCATTCTGATACAAATCTGCGACGTTGTGTACCGAGCGGGAACTAACCCCTGACCGATGGCGGACCCACACACGGGAGGGCCCGAGAGCCCTCCCACAAACACCCAAGAAACCACCAACGGTTTCACTGGGGAATACCTCGCAACCAGTACCACTGTCGAGAACCGGAAGCGAACCAGGAGTGGAGATGCCTTCGGGCCTTCGGATCCAGCCGGTCGAATCACCACCAAGGAGGTGTGGAAATTGATCGGCACACTGAAGGATGTCATCCACCACCAAACCGCGACCATCGCAGCAACCCAACAGGAACTCCAGGAGATCAAGCACAACCAGCATGTCCTCCAGGAACAGAACGAGAGGCTATACGATGAGGTGAAGGCGCTGCGGACACAAATCGAGACCAACCCCCCGGCGACAGCAACCAAGACCTGGGCCACCGTCGCGGCGGAAGGCAGCATTAGCACCTCCTCAGTGAACTCTCAACGACCCGAGAGAAACCAAGATTGCGTCAGGATCAGCACCCAGAGAACCTTTGTGGACCCACGAGACAACGATAATAGCGAGGAAAGCGCGTTCGGACGATATCTCCCCATCGATGTTGCCAACAATCATATTCGTACCGCGTTACAGAGCGACACCGCGACCCAAGATACCCAGTTAGCAGGAATTGGCACCACCAAAACCGGCTACATCATTCGGTTCAAGAACCCAGCGTCAGCTGAGACGGCCCGTGCCAACACAGAGTGGCTACACAAGCTGGGCAACAACACGAAGCTAGTGAAACCACGATTCGGGGTCGTGATACACCGGACTCCCACCGAGGAATTTGATATTGAGACAGGGGCTGCCCGGGCGATGGAGAAAATCACCGCAGACAACGACCTAGCGGTGCACGGCCTACACATCGAAGAACTAGCCTGGATGAAAGCGAAGGATAAGGCCCTAGGGAAGTTCGCCTCACTGGGAATCTGGTTCGATTCCCCAGAGGGGGTGGATTACATGCTTCGGAAAGGGTTCCTTGTCAGCGGGCAACTCATCACTAATGTAGAACGACGCGAAATCAAGAAGAAGAGGTGCTTCCGGTGCCAACGGTTCGGCCACCTGGCGTGGTCATGCAAGGAAACACCTCGATGCGGACACTGCGCAGGACAACACGAGCGGGAGCGATGCCCGCCCGGAGTGAGAGCCCGGTGTCTGGATTGCAGCGGTGAACACCCTACGGGCGATCGACAGTGCCCAACACCATCGACCTCTAACCCTACCAGATGCTAGCGAAGAACCTCCGCATCTTACAGTTGAACATGATGAAATCGGGACCGAGAATGGAGGCACTGATCAACGACCCGCAGAGCTTAGAGCTGGATGTTCTGCTGATCCAGGAACCATCTATAACGACATACCGTACGCATGTCAACCACAGCGCCTGGCGATTGTACCGACCCACGACTCAGACCGACGCCTCTCGATTTCGCAGCTTGCTCTATGTCAATCGAAGAATTTCTACCTCATCACATCGCCAACTACCGTGCGACCATCCAGATGTAGCGGCTATTAAGATCTGGACAGCCAACTCCCAAACGCTGGTATTTTCGGTCTACATACCTCCAGTACCACTTTTCACGGGCAACGACTCGTCAGCATTACCAGCCCTCACGGCGATACAAAACTCTATCACAGCCGCCACACAAAATGAACAGCGCGCGACTAGCATTATTGTTTCCGGTGATTTCAACCGACACCATCCAATGTGGGGCAACAACTATATCGCTCCTAGATTCATTGAAGACGCCAGCGACCTTATCAATTTCTTCCAAGCCCACAACCTCCACAGCTGTCTCCCTCGAGGGACAGCGACTTACTGGGCATTCAACAACCCTGGGCAGAACTCGACCATCGACCAGACGGTGACAGATAGCCCGGACTTGCTCATAAAATGCCATCTGTATCACGAAAACTATGGATCCGACCACCGGGCCACCTATTCAGAATGGAACCTTCAACCCCGGAGCAGGCCAAACATCAAAGCAAGGAAGGCGTATGAGCGCGCGGACTGGACCAGGATCGGTGAGGAAGTAGCCCGACAGATGAATCCCTGGAGGCAGATCAAGACCCGGCAAACACTCGACCGGGTAGTAGAAAACCTTACAGCGGCGACAGCCCAGGCGGTCGACCGGTTCACACCCGACACACGCCCCACGCCGTACTCCAAGCGATGGTTCACACCTGATCTAAAGGCCCAACAAGTCGAAGTCAATCAGCTACGTAGGAGGTGGCAGGCAAACTGCGCCGAGCTGGGAAGAGAGCACACTACTACCACAGCTGCCTTCCACGCCATGCAGCAGAAACGACGAGCGTGGACAAGAACCATCGAGAAAGCCAAATCCTCTCATTGGAAACAATTTCTAGACGAAGCGGGTGAAGGAAAGCTGTGGAAGGCCGCGACATACATGAAGCCCCGAGAGACATGGGATGGCGTCCCAGCACTGCGAGTGGACACGGAGGAGTACACCCAAAACGAAGACAAAGCGAATGCATTCCTAGACGCGTTCTTTCCCACCATGAGTCCACCCGAGTTCAACTCACCGATCACACCGGCGACGGAACTCCCGTGGCACCCGATCACAGAATTGGAGATTGAGCGATCACTGAAAGCAGCTAAGGGGAATACAGCGCCCGGAGAAGATAACTTACCGATGCTGGTTTGGAAGAAGCTTTGGAGGCATCTCAAGACCTTCATTGTTAACATCTTCACAGCGAGTGTAGAGCTAGGACACCATCCGAGACAGTGGAGGAGCGCGAAAATCATCGTTTTACGAAAACCAGGCAAGCCTGATTACTCCAAACCTGGTGCCTACCGCCCAATCTCACTGCTCAACACGCTTGGCAAACTCCTGGAAGCAGTGATGGCCCGACGGCTGTCATATCTGGCGGAGAAGCACGGCCTGCTGCCAAACAGCCAGTTCGGCGGTCGGCCGGGTAGGACCACCGAGCAAGCCCTGCTGGTGCTGTCCAGTGCGATCGACCAAGCCTGGTACAAGCACAAGGTGGTGACCCTCATCGCCTTCGACCTCACAGGTGCCTTCAACG